CATTGTTTCTTAAGACTAGCCAAAGCCCTACCATGAGTTACGACGCTACCTCCTTTCCCACGTTCCACTTGCAATTTCATATCACCCAACCCTTCTATTGATTGCTTTATTCCATCTCTAGCCCACTCTCCCTGCCCTGCAGGCTCAGAGCAAGGTACAAGTATAAACACAGACGATCAATGAACATGGATACAGCAAAAACACACACATAATAAGTCATTAAATCCTACGACATCAAGGTACTGAATTAACTACCGATAGATGGCGGTCTGTGACATGATTAGCGGATCCCAAACCAACCTATGTGGGCCCTGGTGGGAATAACACATGCAAGGGAGTTGACCACAGTAGAATCATAGAATCATAGAGTTGGAAGGGACCTCCAGAGTCATCTAGTTCAACTGCCTGCACAAAGGAGGAAATTCACAAATATCTCATGCCCAGGGGTCATTTCGTAGAAAAAGAGGTGCAGGAGCTCCTTAGCATAACTTATTAGCATGACTTATTTGCATATGCCACACACCCTGGCATCACCGGAAGTGTGTCAGAAGGCAACACCCACCACTCAGGCTCCAATGGACTGTTTTGGATTGCCAGCTATTGGGGGGGGGGAACGTGCAGATCTGTCCTCGCAGAGGAGGGAGAGCTTGTACCTGGATAAAACTTGGTCTTAAAGGTGCCACTGGACTGTTTTGGATCGCTAGCTATCGAGGGGAGGGACGTGCAGATCTGTCCTCGCAGAGGAGGGCGAGCTTGTACCTGAATAAAACATGGTGCCACTGGACTGTTTTGGACTGGGGGGGGCTCTGCAACTTATCTGGTTGCTTCTTGCTCTGACTTAGGGCTGCTGGGAGCAGGGGGTGGGGCTTGTTGCATGTGCCGCCCCCTGGGCTCTTTACTGCCGGAGCTCTGCTCCAGTGTGCTCCTGCAGGAAATAACCCCTATTCATGCCCCGCAACCCCCCAGTGACCACTGTTCCATGCCCAGGAAGATGACAAAAACCTCCTGGAACCACGGCCAAACCGGCCTGGAGAAAAATTGCTTCCTGACCCCAAAGTGGCGATCAGCATTTCCCTGGACGTGTAAGAAAGGGCCACGAGAACTAAGCACTGAGGCAACCCTCCCTGCCCTCCCTCTGCCCAAGTTCAGAGAATCCGCATTGCTGTCCGATGGCCATCTAGCCTCTGCTCCGAAACCTCCAAAGAAGGAGAGCCCACCACCTCCCCAGGGAAGCCTGTTCCACTGAGGAACCCCTCTAACTGTCAACTCTCAGGAAATTCTTCCTCGTGTTTAGCCGAAAACTCTTCTGATTTAATTTCAACCCGTCGGTTCTGGTCCGACCTTCAGGGGTAACAGAAAACAACTCCGCGCCATCCTCTGTTTGGCAGCCCTTCTAGTACTTGAAGATGGTGATCATATGGAACAATAGACAGAGCGGGGCAAGGGAGGCCAGTGTAAATCGTTTACTGCCACCTCACCCAAAGGCATGGCGGAACATCTCCGCTTTACAGGCCCTGTGGAACTGCGTTAAATCCCGCAGGGCCAAGATCTCAATCAGGGGAGTGTTCCACCATGTGCCAAATCTGCAAGACAAACTCACACAGAGAGTTTCAGAGGGAGAACGGTGTTGGTCTGCAGTACAACAGCGAGACCTGAGTCCTGTAGCATGTTAGAGACCAACAAGATTTTGGGGTTATACGCTTTTGAGAGTCAACACTCTGGTATCTGATGAAGGGAGCGTTGATTCTCGAAAGCTTATGAAAATCTTCTTGGTCTCTGACGTGCTACCGGACTCCAATCTAGCTGTTCACACAAAGCAGTATTCTTGGTGAAAAATTTGTACCCACCCCTGTGTGATACCACAGGCCTCCTCATCCACCATCAGATGCTCTTACGAGTGCATACGCCGTTAAGGCGGATCTCGCCATTGCCACAGATTGAGCCCCCATTTCCTGGATACGACTTCCGCCAGAAGTCACACCTTTTGGGAGGGTGAAGTAGCACTTTAGAGAGCAACGTGATTTTCGGGGTATAAGCTTCTGAGAGTCAAAGTCCCCTTCAGTGCTCCCGTCAACAGAAGAGAAGAAGAAAAGATTGGATTTATACCCCGCCCTTCACTACCCAAAGGAGTTTCAGAGCGGCTTACAAACTCCTTCCCCTCCCCCTCCCCACGACAGACACCCTGTGAGGTAAAAGAAGAAGAGATTGGACTTATACCCCACCGTTCACTACCCAAAGGTATCTCAGAGCGGCTTACAAACTCATTTCCCTTCCCCTCCCCACAACAGACACCCTGTGAGGTAAAACAAGAAGAAGAAGAGATTGGATTTATACCCTGCCCTTCACTACCCAGAGGAGTCTCAGAGCGGCTAACAAACTCCTTTCCCTTCCCCTCCCCACGACCAGTGTTCCCTCTAAGCTGAGTTAGGGTGAGCCAGCTCACAGTTTTTAACCTCTGACTCAGACATTTTTGCCTTAGCTCAGGAAGGAGGGCTCCGGAGCAAACTAATTTATGCAGTAGCCAAATTGGTTGCTCACAACTTTAATGCCAGTAGCTCACAAAGTGGAATTTTTGCTCACAAGACTCCACAGCTTAGAGGGAGCATTGCCCACGACAGACATCCTGTGAGGTAAAAGAAGAAGAAGAAGAGATTGGATTTATACCCTGCCCTTCACTACCCAAAGGAGTCTCAGAGCAGCTTACAATCTCCTTTCCCTTCCCCTCCCTACAACAGACACCCTATGAGGTAGTCGGGGTTGATAAGAGCTCTCTTGAGAACTGTCCTTGAGAGAACAGCTCTGACAGAACTATGGCTTGCCTAAGGTCATCCAGCAGGTGCAAGTGGAGGAGTGAGGAATCAAACCCGGTTCTCTCAGATTAGAGCCCGCACACTTAACCACGACACCAAACAGAAACCTAAGGGAGTGTTGACTCTCAAGAGCGTATACCTCAAGGATCTTTTTACTTCCCAGGCCCCAGTCACACGAGCCAGATATCGCGGACTACTGCGCAGCCGCTGGATCAAACGTCCAGCCGACGTCCCATGGTTCGGGGGGAGGTGCCGATCATACATCAATCCTGCGGCGCGGCAAAGAAGCGGGGTGGCGGGGGTTGTTTTTTTAACCGTAGTGGGGGCATGCGCCGTTGGGTGCTTGTGCGCATCCCTTTGAGATTTGGGGGGAAAAAAACCTTTTCGTAACGGGACATGGGCGGGTGCCGGATGCCACGAGCTACCACCGGAAACGTGGTCAGACGCCCGCCCTTGCCCCATGGTTTCCGAAAACTAGTACCTCGGAGGTACTAGTTTTTTACGGCGCATCTTTGGCAGGAAGCCTCGGGTTAGCCATGGGAGCTCTACGCTTCCCAGATGTTGCGGTTTGATCGCGCCCGGAAAATCCGCCTATCTTCCGTCTCTGTAGCATGGCTAATGTTCCGTGTGACCGCAGCCACAGAAAATCAATGTAAAAAACATGTGGCCAAATTGATCGATGCCAGAGATAACGGTTATACCCATTTTGACGCTCGGAGGACATGTTCTCCACTTGCCTTGGGCTTTCCATCTGAGGCAGTGTTCCCTCTAAGCTGAGTCAGTGTGAGCTAGCTCACAGTTTTTTACCTGCCAGATCACACATTTTTGTTTTTGCTCAGGAAGGAGGGCTTCAGAGCGAGCAAATGTATGCAGTAGCCAAATGGCTCGCTCACAACTTTAAGGCCGGTAGCTCACAAAGTAGAATTCTTGCTCACGAGACTCCACAGCTTACAGGGAGCGTTGGTCTGAGGCTAAACTCCCTTCTTAGGTAGACTCGTTGGATAACCCAAAGTTATGTAGGACCTTTATGCATTCACGATTCAACTGCCCGTTTATCAATGGTATTGCTGGGTCGTCTGTGAAGGACCCCTTTCTCAGATCGAGTCAGTCGATGCTCTTGTACATATCCCCTTGCAGTGTCCTTATGTGCTTCAGTTGAGGCTAAACTGGATTATGCCCTGCCTTGACAAATGGACTACGCTTCCTTTAGCGACATCAGAGCAAAAGTTTCAATTCTCCTTAGAGGATTAAGAACATAAGAACATAAGAGACGCCAATGTTGGATCAGGCCAAAGGCCCATCCAGTCCAACACTCTGTGTCACACAGTGGCCAGAAATACCAGGTGCCATCAGGAGGTCCAGCAGTGGGGCCAGGACACTAGAAGCCCTCCCACTGTTGACCCCCCCCAAGCACCAAGATGACAGAGCATCATTTGCCCCAGAGCCCCTATCTATACCTTGTGGCTAATGGCCACTGATGGACCTCTGCTCCATATGCTTATCTAATTCCCTTTTGAAGCCATCCATGCTTGTAGCCGCCCTTCTTCTGTGTCTGATTCTAAATGTACTTATTTGGTTGCTCGATTTCTAGAGGCTGCAGAGAAGTGTCGAAGGGAGGTGTTTTTAGATACGGTTTTTATTTATGTTTCTCAGTTTTATTGTTCAAGACCTTGGACTAAGAACAGGGGGAAGGAAGTAAGATGGTAAGCTTATACCCTGAAAATTTTGTTGGGGTTTTTCGGATCTGACGAAGAGGTTTGACTCTTGAGAGCTCATACCCCTCGCCCTGCCCCGGATAGCCCGGGCAAGCCCGATCTCATCAGATCTCGGAAGCTCAGCAGGGTCGACTCTGGCAAGTACTCGAATGGGAGACCTCCAAGGAATACCAGCAGTCAGGAGGCGGGGGCAGGCTTTAGTCTCTGAATATCCTCCAGGGCCCAAGTAGGGGTCAGTCACCAGAGGTCGCCATGACTTCCAGGTGCGCACACGCACACCCATGCACATATAAAAATACAAAAAAGAAGAAAAAAGAAAGCTTATACCAGAAAATCTGGTTCGTCTCTAAGGTGCTACTGGACTCGAATCCAGTTCCGCTGCAGACCAACATGGTTGCCTGCTGAAACTATCAGCAGGGCGGCGCTAATAACCCCCCCCCGGCTTTAGTGATCAGCCGTTTCTTTGCCCGCTTACCGTATTTAACTTGGGCGATGTCCCCCACAACCAGTTCGGCCACAGGGATCTGGACCTGTTGCCCGTTGCGGATAACGGTGAACTTCTGCTCCTGCTCGATGCGGCTCTGCAGACCTCGGAATTGCTTCTCTTTGCTCCAGTCGTTGAAAGCCGTGACCAACACCACACAGATCACCGAAAGCAGGATGGCGGCACCCTCAATCCATCCGGCTTCCGACTCCCCCTCGTCTTCTCCGCCAGTTGATACGTTTCCACAGGCTAGAAGAAGAAGAGTTTGCTTCCCACAGTGAATAAATGGATCCATAAGACATGGGATATATTTATGCTGGGGAAATTCTCAATTTATGATTCCATGAACCAAAATGAATGCGAATTTTGCAACACGTTAAAACATATGGTACCCGATCTTAGACAAAATAACTTTACATAAATTTGACTGGGAAAACACTACTGAAGCAAAATATAAGATAATGCTATACAGCTGAGAATAAAATAGGTTGTGTTGTTTACTCCACTGCAAGTAGATAGATAGGTACCACTTCAGTGGGAAGGTAACAGCGTTCCGTGCGCCTTGGTGTTTAGTCATGCCGGCCACATGACCACGGAGACGTCTTCGGACAGCGCTGGCTCTTCGGCTTTGAAACGGAGATGAGCACCGCAACCCTAGAGTCGGACTCGACTGGCTTTCGAGCAAGGGAACCTTTACCTTTACCTTACTGTTATTAAAAGTTAACATCAAAATAGTTTAGTTATACGAAGTGTTAAATAAAAAGCATCTTACT